CCTCACAGTATTTTATTCTATTAATGCAGATGAGGGGCAGCTTTAAATACAGTGAATTCTTGGCTTTAGTTAATAATTGAAAATACCAGGTTCAACAGACGTCCTGGCATCATCACATTCTACAATCTGAAAACTATCTATTTGGAGTCCTCTGTATTTATAGATTTTTTTTTATTTATTTTGCATGTATAACATAATAATAAAAAAAAAAAAAACACTAGAAAAAAAGTAGGTGCGGGAAGAGGCAAAAACAAAACAAAAATGGCTTCAATTACAGCCTCCACCTTATGAATACATAAAAAATCTAACATTATCTCTGTGCAAAAACAAATAATAATAATAAAATTAAAAAACTTTGCTCTTGATGTGACACTTTTTGATGAGTTTTGTATCTATGAATCTCTGCATTGTTTTTAAAGTAAAATGTGAAATGTTTGGGGATCGTTGTTGAATTGTAAAGAATTTTATACATAAAAATACAAATTTGATAAACATTAATATCACAAATATTAAGTATGTTACATTTGGTGAATAAATGAGCAGACAATGTTAGTGGCATAGAATGAGTTGACTTGAGTAACTTTTTAAAGAAATTGTACTTTTCAGAGTACTTTTATAGCTGCATACTTTAACTCCTACTTGCGTAATATTTGTGTTGAAGTAAAAGTACTCTTACTTGAATTAAAACATGGCTAATCTTTCCACTGTGAGTAAATCTACAAATGACAAAAGTTTTATGTAAATCAGATTTTACGTCCTTGATACTTACATGATTACATTACATGTTGAACTTCTTACTTGAGTTAATTTCTTGGACCACTACTTTGTTCTTCTACTTCAGTAATATTATTTTGAAGTTAAGTTATTTAGTACTTCTACATGAGTAATATCATTTTTAAGTAACGTTACACTGCTTTACAGATCAACTATAGAGACATTATTTATTTAAAAATGTTATTATTTCATATTCTGTTTGTTCTGGATTCAGTGTTTAAAAACTATTATGAAACATTTATTTGAATAAGAAAAGGTTTAACATTACAGATCTCAAAAGAAGAGAAAACATGCAGATGTTACTGAAATGTTTCAATAAATATTTAGTTTGGCCCACGACTTTGTTCCAGTTTTTCATTTTGGCCTCTGTGAATTTGAGTTTGACTCTCCAGATATAATACTTTTAATCAAGTAGATTTTTCATATGATACTTTTACTAGAGTATTTGTACTTTTACTTAAGGGTGCACTGCGAAACTTTTCTGGTGGAGGGTGCACTACCTGCTTGTCTCCATGGAGATGTATTGCTTTGCCTGAAATGTTCCATGGTGTGACATTAAACACAAGCATCCAGTATTTCTTCATTACAGGTGTTTTCATTGCTCAAAAATACAAGAATTCTCTGTATGAATAGGGGCGAGCTCCACAGAGCTGACCTGTAATGTAGCGTAATGCTGTGCTCCTCCTCCTGCTCGTCTCCCTCATGACAGAGCTTTAATCTAGACTCTGGAACATTCTAGACAAAGCAATAACATTCGACATGGAGACATCAGACAGCAGAGCCTCCACTCAAAAGTTTCACAGTGTAACTTAAAGTGACAAAATTGAGCACTTTTTCCACCAGTGAGTAAAACGAGTCCAGAGTACACTCATATGTCCTCAGCTGTCAAATACTCATGTGACAAACTGTACTCACTTGTAGCAGTTGTTGTCCCGCTGGTTATAACTCCCCAGAGAGCAGAGACAACCTGTACACACAGCGTACGAGAATAAAATCTGACTGGCAGCATCCATCCAAACCTACGGACATCGCACAGTTAAGTCGCAGCAGAAAAAGAAAAATAGAATAGAATATAAAGTAACTGTGATCTTTGATTGATTTGTTGATATAATACCAGAGCTTCCTGTCTTTTGCTGGGTTTCAGATGACATCGACATTTTATAGACTGATAATATTTCATACAGATGGGAGCAGGTTAAATGAACATTGTTAAACATAGATTTTTGTTGTCATTTAGCCTTTTGGATATTTCATGGCAAAGTACAAAATAATCAATAAGGAAAATCGAGCTCTTGCCTCCATCTGTGAGTCTGACTGTGTCACTGTATTCTCCAATCAGAAAACTACTAACAACAACTACTAACTTTTCTATTCATACAAAAGCTCTGTATATAAGTAAGTTCCACAAATACCAAAGTGAATATCCATATGTGGACCTATTGATACTTTGCAGCTGATGTCATCAACATTCTCTGTGGTCAGTGTTGGGAAGGTGACTTTTAAAATGTAATCCCCTACAGATTACAGATTACAGACCCCAAAATGTAGTTTGTAATGGAATCCATTAAATTACTTAAAGTGAGTAATGTAATCTGAATACTTTGGATTACTTGATTTGCTGTAGAGAAACAAAGACGAGGAAATCTTCAACATAAAATGTTTTATCTGCTAAAAGAAAATAAAAAGTCCAGACTTTACCGAACCAAATTAAAAATATTATTGATAGAAGACGAGAAGACACAGTCTGCACAGCAGGATTTAATCCTGGTTTAGACCTGGTTTAGACCTGGTTTAGACCTGGTTTTAGTCCTGGTTTAGTCCTAGTTTAGTCCTGGTCCTGGTTTAGACCTGGTTTTAGTCCTGTTTTAGACCTGGTTTAGACCTGGTTTAGACCTGGTTTAGACCTGGTTTAGACCTGGTTTTACGGTCCAGCAATGAGTGGAATTACCGAGAGAAAAAAAAAAGGGATATAGCCCCAAATGTGAAAACAGGAAAACATGTAATCCATTTATTTCAACAAAGTAACTGTAATCCAATTACCACTCACTGAAACAGTAACTGTAACTGAATACAGTTACTCATAATTTGTACTCTGATTACATAACTCTGTTACATGTAATCTGTTACTCCCCAACACTGTCTGTGGTTGTGATGCTAACTGTAGGCATTGTTGTGTCTGAAGCTCTGTTACTTATATTAGACTATGTTTACACTGAAACAAATCATTGTATCACCGTACCAGAAACATTCATCCAGACACGTCGTTTCTGTGTCCACAAGTCTTCCCTATCCACACAACTTTGAGCATATTTGTTTATTTTTACAGAAACAAAACTTAAAACCACATGACTCATTTGCATAAACTAAACCTCAACAAACAGTTCACTATTGTGTCGCTGATGTGGTTCAGTTTCTGTGGGACTAAAGGACACGACTCAGTGGAATCTGAGTGTTCTTTCTGTGACAGAGGGGTGTTCTGCTGATGGTGAGTCTGTTCTGTGTTTCTGTCGTGTTGGAGATGGTTCATGTGAAACTTTTCAGAGATTATACGTCTGCAGGTCGTACACACACACACATGTTTATATGTTATCTTATTAGGTTCTTTTTTCAGACCAAGAGTTTGTTTTCATACCTGACAGTTTGGACTGCTCACTAGTGCTCTTCCTCAGAGTCACGTGATGTTGCTGTGATGTGTCGTTCAGTTGATTTAAACAGGTTTTGGCGCTGTCGTTCTACCGGTGGAGGCAGGATGACAGCATCACCTGCAGTCCCACTTCCTGAGGACAGTATCCCAGGTTTTTCATCCCATGGGCACGTTTCCGTATTTTGATTGCCTCTTTAATCCAGCGACGATGTTTGTTTTCCTCTGTCCCAATGGATATTTGCTCCAACCCAGTCCATAATGTGGTTCTCTCTTTTACAGTGGTCAGAAATGGCCGATTTGAGTTGTTCCTGCTCTGCTTTGTGTTTTGTGCCCACGAGACAATAAACAGGGAAGAGGGGGCTTTTTTTACTCTCACAAACCTGGGATACTGTCCTGAGGAAGTCGGACTGCAGATGGCGCTGTCGTCCTGCCTCCACAGGTTGGAAGACAGCACCAAAACCTGTTTAAACCAGCTGACCAGACACGTCACAGCAACATCACGAGACTCTGAGGAAGAGCACTAGTGAGCAGTCCAAACTGTCACGTATGAAAACCAACTCTTGGTCTGAAAAAAGAACCTAATAACATAAATTATCAGAAGACCAAATGAACCTCATCGGACTGACATGTTTATATGAATGGACAGATATTCTAGACCTCTTAGTGTTTTGGTGGTGAATTACTTGGCGGTGCACAGACCTACATCAGAGTATCAGTGTTTTCAGGCGTCCACACAGTGCTGGATCAGATCTGCACTCAGATGAATTCATGGGAGCTGGAGGCACCAGATTGTTCTGTCTCTGGAGCTGTTTTTCATTGGATTAGTGTGAACGAACACTGCATCCACAATGAAAAACACTCAAATACGAACTGGTGTGGATGGGTCCTTAGATTTTGAACCTGACTTTGCATTGATCACAGGCTCCTGAAAATGTGCAGTTTAAATCCAGTTTGTATTATATTCTTTAAAAAAATGTTGGCATGTGGCTTGTGCATCACCGTGGTAACTGCTGAACAATCTCTTTCTTAATACAACTGTCTCTATGTGTTCACCTGATGGTCAGACAGGCGGCTCAGATCTGGCCACAGGTAAAATCGAATCCCATCGGCCGCACCGGGCAGAGTCACTCCACGGATCACCAACGCCATCATCATGAGGTACGGGAAAGTGGCCGTGAAGTACACAACCTGCACAAGAGAGAAGATCAAAATAAAATAAAATAGACCAAACATCAGGAGCTTCAACAATAATCATCCAGACAGATTCTTTTAAAGGAAGGTTTAAAGTACATAAACCTGAACTATCTTGGTCCCAGATATGTGATATACCTTTTACTTTTTAACAGGTATATCAGAAACACTTGGCTGTAATCAGGGCAGTCTTGTGTGATGTCACCAACTACTGGAAATTCACACACACATTTACATTTATGTGTTTTTACCAGAAAGCTGCAAATGAACCTAGATTGCACTTCACTAAAGTTGCCCAAAAAAAATGACGTGGGGCAGTAGATAAAGTGATTGAAATAACATAATGCACAGTGTTGGGAAGGTGACTTTTAAAATGTATTCCCCTACAGATTACAGATTACATCCCCCAAAATGTAGTTTGTAACATAATCCATTAAATTACTTAAAGTGAGTAATGTAATCTGAATACTTTGGATTACTTGATATTGTCATGCTTTTTAAAACTACATGAATGTACCAACCACATCCTGAAAATTCTTGTTTGTTCTCTTCAAATTGTCTGTTGAGCCCAAGTCTCCATGAACAGACTTTTGTTTTACTGTAGAGAAGCAAAGACGAAGATGTTTTTTCTGCTAAAAGAAACTAAAAAAACAAGTCTTTCCTCAAACATATTAAAAATATTACTGATAGAGAAATGTTTTCTATATGAGATCACTGCTGCTTTAAATTATGTCCACCTACTGTTAGTGTCATATTGTTTAGTCCTGGTTTAGTCCTGGTTTAGACCTGGTTCAGACCTGGTTTACTCCTGGTTTTACACTTGGTTTAGTCCTGGTGTTATTTCTGGTTTAAACCTGGTTTAGTCCTGGTTTAGTCTTGGTTTAGTCCTGGTTTAGTCCTGGTTTAGTCTTGGTTCAGCCCAAAATGTGAAAACCGGAAAATACCGCCGTGTAATCCATTTATTTCAACAAAGTAACTGTAATCCAATTACCACTCATTGAAACAGTAACTGTAACTGAATACAGTTACTCATAATTTGTACTCTGATTACATAACTCCAGTACATGTAATCTGTTCCTCCCCAACACTGATCATGCACAGCTGTAAAAAGTAGTTTTAGTTTAGATCCACTTTCATACTTTGCCTGAACTCTTGACTCCTTTCCAGATGCAAAAGTAGCACATGATCCAGCTGAGGAGGAGACACCCGGCCAGGTCCCAGCGCACGGCTCCCATCTCCTCGATTCCTCCAGACAAGCCCAGGACTCGTGTCCTGAACACAACATCCACAGTTCAAATGTCCAATAAAACCAGAAATATGCAACAAGAGGTAAAAACTCACTGCCAGAATTCTTCAACAGACGATGTTGCATTTACAGACGATGTTCGGTTTAGTCGATAATCAAAGCAGTTAACTAGAAAGAGAAAAGTAAAGTCTTGTGTTAAAAGTGTTTCTATGAGAGGAACAAAAACACTTGGTTAGAGTTTTCCAGCTGGACCTGAATCTTGTCAACAGTTTTTAGAAATGTAGAGAATTCTTTTATGGGCCTGTTCAGACTGACATAAGATGTAATAATCACTGTTTTGCAAGTGACTTTAAAACTGTAATGTGTTATTTATGACTTGTTCCTGTCATTTCAAAGTAACTTGTTACATTACAATATGACTGCGTTTAAAATATAAAACATTACAAGTTACTCTCACTAAAATAACTGCGAAGATGCTGAACTTTTATGCCGGATGTGGACAGAACCAGGTCTGAACCAGAACTGAACCAGGATTAAACCAGGTCTGAGCCAGAATTGTCCCAGGTCTAAACCAGGTCTAAACCAGGACTAAACCAGGTCTAAACCAGGACTAAACCAGGTCTAAACAAGGACTAAACCAGGTCTAAACAAGGACTAAACCAGGTCTAAACAAGGACTAAACCAGGTCTAAACAAGGACTAAACCAGGTCTAAACAAGGACTAAACCAGGTCTAAACAAGGACTAAACCAGGTCTAAACCAGGACTAAACCAGGTCTAAACAAGGACTAAACCAGGTCTAAATAAGGAGTAAACCAGGTCTAAATAAGGAGTAAACCAGGTCTAAATAAGGACTAAACCAGGACTAAACCAGGTCTAAACCAGGACTAAACCAGGTCTAAACCAGGACTAAACCAGGTCTAAACCAGGACTAAACCAGAACTAAACCAGGACTAAACCAGGACTAAACCAGGTCAAAACAAGGACTAAACCAGGACTAAACCAGGTCTGAACCAGCACTAAACCAGGACTAATCTTGGACTAGAACCTGGAATCTAGAGAACCCTGAGTCCATGGAGCAGGGTGTCTGCAAGGTGTGATCGGGCCTCAGCTGTGGTTCCCCTGTGGAGTGTGGAGTTCTGCACTGGTCCTTTCGCTCGCGGTCACCTCGCGGATGGTCTACGTGGGAGCGTCTCCGGTGTTTCACTACTGATATCGCTGTGATTTTAGCGAATTTGTATGAAGAAAAACCCACCACTTCAATCCAGGTTCAAAAGCATTGTAACACACGTTACACACATTTGTACACAGTAAAAACTCCAGAAAAAATACAAAAACTGATTTAAAAAGCACATTTTCAGGAGCCTGTGATTAATACAAGTGTTCATGGTCCTGCTCAACAACAAGGGTGAGAGTGACTAATTGAAAAACTGTTGGCTCGCTTATGAATATGAATGACATTTTCTGTGTGAGAGACTTGTTTAATCCGAGTCCCTGTTTATCCAGGACAGTCCCAGTTTAGAGCCCAGTGTCCCCTGTCCCAAACATTTTAACGTTAGGGCACTAGATTCAAGATTTAAAGTGCGTATTGTCATGTGTACAGGAAGGAAACACACTTGCCCTGTACAATGAAATTATGTGTTTACT